CTTTCGTGTTATCTCCCTACAGGCCCCTTCCCATCTACTCCAAGACCTCCGTCTGCGTCTTCCTTGCGTGCCTCCTCTTCTTTGACCCTTCCCGCCCCGCGAAGCCTGCCCTGGCCATCTTTTCCTTCACTTTCACTTGACTTACGTCACAGTTTGTATTGAGATGGTGATGAATTCCCTTTAAGGACTTTTACGAGGGGCAGGCCCCTTGGAACACCCCCCACTCCCATGAGAAAGCAGTGTCCTTGGGGGGAAGGGCAATCGCATCTCCACCGGCATTGCCCCGTGTTCCTGCACACCCCACAGGCCTGCACTAGGGACACAGCCCATCACCCCTTCTCAGCACCGCTCGCCGGTCCTCCTGCCGCCCCTGCCCGGAGTGCCCTCCGTCGCACGGCCCTGCTCTGCCGATTCCTCCTCTGAGCGAAGCTCAGACTGACCTCCTCCTGCCGCTCCCCCCACAGGCAGGCCGAGCCCCCCGCCCTGTGCGCTGGCGCCGTTCCTCCGCCCAGATTTCAGCCGCCACCTGGAGCTTCGCTGCACGGTCCACTCGCCGTTTCTCTGGGGACACAGACAGTTTCTTATTAAGTTGTGTGTCCGCTGACAGTCATCCTGGTGCCTAGTACCCAGCGGCGATCGACAACGTGTACATGCCGAACGCCTGACGGAATGCAGAGCTGCTGGAAGGTGAGCACCCCTGGGTGGCCTCTGAGTGTCTGGCTGTCCCTCCGGTTACATTCTGGGACTAAAGGTGACGGGTGGCCCGAGCGCTCAGTGACAGACTGGGAGCTTGTCACACGCTGTCTTGTTTCTTCCAGGTAACCGGGGCACTTGTCTGTTTCCTGTATGTTTGTGTTTCATCTGTTCATTTTGGATTCCCGAGTAGCCCAGAGAAAGTCATTTGAAATAGGTCATGTAGTTTTCCATCTATTTTTACATTTTATTACATTTCAGGGAAACAGATTTTCCTGCTTTCATGGAATTGGAATGACCCTGTTATAACGCAGAGGGCGAAGTAAGGCAATGTTTATCCTGACACCCTGCTAAGTAGGCCCCAGACTCTGAGCCAGGCGCTCTGGCTTCCTCATCTCGTTCAGTTCTCGTGGTCACCCTAAGAGGCAGGGACCGTCACCTGCCACCATCATAGGGGCTACACAGAGACCAGGTGACAACCTGGAGCGCGGTGCGGGGCTTGGTGTGGGTGCGGTCTCCCCGCTGGGCGCAGGGGCCGGCGGTTAGAGAGCTGGCGGGTCGCAGCCACCGGTGCTGCTGCAGCGACTCCGTGATGCTGAGAGACACGTTTGCGTGGACAATCGGCGACATCAAACACACTCTTGAGTAGCGGCTTTTATGAGGTTGAGGAACACTAAGTATTTTTATAACACTGAATTAGATACCAGACATGAAAAAGTGCCTGTGTGAAATGTGCTTGTTAATTAATTAGTTAATGGACAGCTTTCGTGTGAGTGTTTTTTTACAGCTTAAACCAAGTAAATATCCTCACGTGTTTTTAACAGAGAAAACTAATCGTTATTTCCGTGATTTGTAGGAATAAGTTTTGCCATGGAACATTTCAAGACGTCACATTCTGTTTTTTTTTCTAGCACATTCTGCTTATGCTAGCTACGTATTATAAATGCCCCATTTAACAATGCAGCTCAGGCGCCTCATTTCAGTTCTGTGGGTTAAATGTACTGGAAGTAGTGTGGCGTTGATTCTAAAGCACTAAAATTATCCAATTAATATCACAGAGTTAATTTCTATGTTTGTTGAACACACCTTTTCACAGTCCCTGTTTCCTGACGGATAGCTTTGAAAACCTCATCGTTTTCCCAGAAATGCACATGTCACAGTGTGCACAGCTGGGTGTCCCCTTGGTAAAGGGCTTGTGCATTTGCAACATTCTCTGCCTGTAGAGGGCGCTTCTCCCGGTGTCACCAAGGCTTCCCCCTCACTTCAGCTTCGGAGCCGCTGACGCTACAGCAGGGGGCGTCTGAGCGCCCGCCCGCCGGGGCTCAGAGCTTCGCCGGCAGGGCCGCAGATGGCCCGTCTCCGTGGCAGAGCCTATCAAATTCCTGGTTTCTCCCAGGGACAGATGGCTCGGGGCCTGGCCGGAGCTCGGTTTCCAGGGGTGTGCGTGCGTGTGTGTGTGTGTGTGTGTGTGTGTGTGTGTGACTGCTCAAGAACAAAGGTCTTTGACGCTGGAAGGCGAACAGAGCTGTTCCCCAGGCCACATGTGGAAGTGCAATGCCGAAGACTAACTTTGGAGTTTTGGAGTTACGCATGGAAAGAATACTTCACGTAACCTAGACAAAACCAGAAACTGTAGGCTGTTATTTCATCTAAACCACAGTCTGACTGTTCCTCTGAAAACCCAAAATAAAACAGGGCTGGGCACCTGGGATAGCTGGGGGCGGGACTCGATCGGTGACACAATTCGGCATTTGTCACTAATTTTTTGCTCTTTGAAAGTTGGAGAGTTGTATCCTTCATTACTGAAAGATACTTTAGAATGAAAAATGATCGTAATGTGTATCTTTCCATTTATAGGGATCTGAAATGTCCCTTTTTATTGCTTTTTGTTCTTTGCCTTCTGAAAAATGCACTCCTGCATCCAGCCCGAAGCAGGTGGGAGACTCGGAAGGAGCTGCGGGCAGCAGAGCAGCGCTCGAGTGGGCGGGGCTCCTCTGCAGGCGCTCGAGTGGGCGGGGCTCCTCTGCGGGCGCCCGAGTGGGCGGGGCTCCTGTGCGGGCGCTCGAGTGGGCGGGGCTCCTCTGCAGGTGGGTGCTAGTCTGCGAGCACGCCTGTTAACACGGTGTGGGGATAGGAGGTGCCGGCGAGGTTTGGAGCAGCGGGCGCTCTCGCCTGGTGTCGTTTGGGGCGGAAATTGGTAAAACTGCTTTGCAAAGCTCTGAGCAAACTTGAAAAACCCGTGAATGAGAAAGTGAACCTGAACCACAAGGGCTCCCGTACTCCAGTGGAGCCACGGACAGTCAACCGTGTTGTTACAATGTAGACTGTTGCGACAGTTTTCAAATTCTTCACCTTGGGGCCACCTCAGATATCCCTCCCATTTTCCTGAGCTGGAAGTTTAGTTGACAATTACGAACCGGATGTCAGTTATCGCTGAGCAACTGTCCCACGTGCTAAACGCACGCTCACACGGTTACAGACGAGGCCCAGTCCTGGCCGCACGGGGAGTCTCGGGTGACTCGGGGCAGCCGACTGGAGGTCACTGCTGGAGCCGCTGGTCACGAGGGCACCGGCGGGATCTCCCGGTGAAAACGGGAGTGGAAGGAGCGATGGCCTCTGTTCCCCAAGGCGCAGCGGATAGAAAGTGCCCCGGGCGCACTTCCCGCAGGAGGCGCTGTCTCGGGAGGGCCCCGCAGGGTGGGGGTGGGTTTGCCTTGCGAACTGGCTCTGGGGGGAGGTGGGGACAGACTTGTGACCAGCGTGGACAGTGAAAGAGGAAAAGGGACGGAGCTCGGGCAGTGCGTGGTGTGCTGGAAAGGGATGCGCAGTGGCGAAGAAACTCGGAAAGTATACTGGAGCAGGACTTCACGACGGGCATGTTACAGAAAGAGGCGGAACAGCTTCTGTGACTTCCCAGGACGTGAACTTGCTAAGAGAAGCGCTACCCACGTGCAAAAGCACACCATGTCACTTCTGTCTGCTTGGGTGTCACAAGAAAGTCCTATCAGTTTAAAAGATTTAGGTCATTTTAATAAGGTAATTTTGGTGAGGTTAAAGTGCTAATTTTGCTGTGTGTGCTGAGGTTAAAGTGCTAATTTGCTGTGTGTGCGTTTAATATGCCTCATTACTTCGAGAAATTCACTGAGCGTTTTTCTCCGTTCGTTTTTTAAAAGCGGTGACCCCCCCCCGTTGGTGGTTGAAACAAGTAGCGGGGGTTTTATAGTGAAGAGCCTGGATGGGGAGCGGGTGGCCGCTGGTCAGGGTGGGGGTGTCGGGGCGGAGGGGCGGAGGCAAAAGCACCCGGGGACACGGACAACAGCGTGGTGATTGCTGGCGGTGGGGGGTGCAAGGGGACTAAATGGTGTTGGGGAAAGTACAACACAGAGATTTTTTTTAAAGTATATTCAAAGACTGCCTTACACTGGAAAGCCTTGAGCAACCACCCCAAAACCTGAAATGCTTTCTGATGGACATGAGCATCTTCCCCCTCCATGCTCAGCACTGAGAAGGGAGGTGTCTTCCGCACTTGGCAGAAAATGGTCAGGAACCCCAGGGAGCCCGAGGGTCCCGCGGAGTGGGCCCTGCAAGCCGCACTGCCGAACCGAACCGGTTCCCCACGTCACCACTGTACAGAAGTGACGGGGGGCGGCTGGGGTGGGGGGTGCACTGGAAGCCCATTCAATAGGACATCCTTCATGACCTACCCACCTTCCGCCCTGACTGGTGTGGCTCAGTGGGTGGGGGTTGTCCCACAACCTGAAAGGTCACTTGTGTGACTCCTGACCAGGGTGTGTGCCTGGGCTGCAGGTCAGGTCCCCGGGTGGGGGCTTGCGAGAGGCGACTGACCAGTTTCTCTCACCCCTGGAGCCCTCGGCCCTCCCACCTCGCTGTGGCCAGGAGCCGTCTGTGGTCGCAGTCGGCCGGGTCTGTCTGTGTCGGGCACCACAGCCGCCAGGCACCCCGGGGATAGCCGGGGCTGCGGTGCGCCCGTGTGTGCCTGCCTGGTCACCGAAATGCAGCCTCTAGGGCTTCCCCCTGGCGCGCCCAAGCTGCCATCGAGGTGCTCCTGTGCTCTGCGGCCGTGACGCAGCGGGATGAGGTGACGTGAGTGCCAGCACTTCGGCCCCAGGACAGTCCGTCTGAGGGCCCCCCTCGGTGACCCTGGGAGGCGGGGCAGGACAGCAGCAGGTTGCCTCGTGCCGCACGCAGTTTGAAAGCGAGGAGCGGCCTGCTCCGGACCTCGGTCAGCCGCGGGGGAAGGGGCCGAGGGAGCCGGAGCATGGGGCAGACACAGTGCAAGGCAGAGCTAAAACACGCGCGCTCAACTTTATTTGTCACGGTCACTCAAAGCTTGATTTTATCAACACAAAGACACTAAGAATTCTGTATCACGAAAACTTAAACAGTAGAAATAGCAGTGGCTTTATGAGTGTAAATTATATACATTAAATCAAATACTCAGAGATTTTCTCAACGTGGGAACCATACACATGAAATAAATGGCAGAAGGACCTAATAGCAGTGTTCTGTTGCTGTGGCCGATCAGTCACTTTGGGGCCTGAATAAACATTCCGGATCGTCGGACTTCTGCTGCTGTTGCAGCCTCACCTGCGTTCCGACGCCAGCCACTGGGCCAGAAGGGACGACTAAAAAGGCCTTCAGCGTTACAGTGCAAGTTCCCCCATCTAGCTGCGACCCTCACAGAAAAGGACCCGGCAGTGCCCCCGTCACCCGTGGCTCCCCGCTTTGGACAGTACGCAAAAGACTACGTTTACTCCGGAAAGTCAAACAGGCACCACAAATGGGGCGATCCTGCAGCTGGGTAAAGTGTCGGGCTCCTCATCTGGAGACGGAGCGGTGAAACCCGTCGCACGGTGTCGCCGACCCGGTGTCAGGCAGCGCGCGCCGGCTCGCCCTCAGTCGAGGACGGGGATTTTGTAGGCCACCGTGCTGCTCACCTTGTGGACCGTGGTGGTGAAGGAGCGCAGGCGCACCTGCTCCGAGTTGCTGATGAACTGCGGCCCCGACTCCTCCCACTTCTCGGGCACCACCAGATCCTTGTCCGTGTAGATCAGCAGATCGAAGGAACCTGCGTGGGAGAGAGGACCACTGGCGTGCTTTCTGGTCTGTCACCCCCGTCCCGGTCTCCGTTCCGAGACACTCAGCAGTGTTGGGAGGCCGTTCCTTCCCCCGGTTTCAGTGCAGGAGAGACTCGCTCCTCTCACTGCAGCTGACAAAAGACTGGAGTTCTGCTTCCTTCTGCCACCCTGTGACCGCCCCACCCTGCGCGCGTCCAGGGGACAGCTGGAGGAGGAGGGAGTGACTAGGGAGAGCGAGCCCCAGTGACAGCAGGGGTGTTAGTGATACTCGTGAGAGTGTGCAGAAAACAACGCAGTGGAAGGAGTCACACCCAACGGCCAAGAGTGAGTACTGCGGAACCCTGTCACCCCCGGCCTTTGCAGCATCTCCACGTTTCGGGAACGCACACCATGACTTTTGGTTTGCAATGCCCCCCCCCATCACTCACAGTACACATTAGTGATTAAGAGAAAGCTGGGTAAAGTTGGACACAGCGGCCCAGGCCCCCCCCGACAACGCCGCCCCGCGGGAACCGCGCCCGGCTTACAGGGGACCTCCAGCAGCGGCAGGAACGTCACGGTGGCCGTGATCTGTCGGATCACCGAGCGGATTTCATCTTGGATCGCCTTCTGCGACTTCTCCCGGGGCGCGCTGCCGAAGAAACCACGTCAGCTGGTTCGCTTTCAGTTTCAACGAGTTATTGCAAACACTGACAAACTTGCTTATTTGAGGGAATGCGCCCAAAAATCAAATAATACATTAAAAAGGAGGTTTTTATTTCCCCTTTTAGATGAGTGTAAGTGTGTCCTTAGGACCCGTCCGTAGCAGGCACAACGCGCACCCTCACTGGCCCGCCCACTCATCCCACCGGCTGCTTCCACGGCCGGTCTCGGCACCGGGCCACCGAGTACCAGACGACCGGGAGTCTGCCAGGTGGCCCACGCGAGGACAGCTTCACCGCCTCTGGAAATAAAAATAGCAAGCAGCATCTAAGACATTTAACTGGTCTAATCATCTCGGCATTTCGGCAGCGCCTCCACACCTTGCCCTGCTGCCCCAGACTGTTTTCAGGAGCGGCACGTCTCCCAACACAGACCGCAGGCGTCGGGAGCAAACGTGCCCTCACCGTGAGAAAGGGTTCCCAGTTCACAGGCGGCGGGCCCGGGGCAGGGCCGCGCACCAGCGGATCGAGCCGGGCACCTCCCCTCGGGGGTCTGGGCACTGCAGAGCTCGGGAAGGGTCTCGGGGCGTTGGCGGCAACGAAGGAGGACATGAGAGCTGCCCCGCAAGCCGGGAGAGCCCAGGGTGACCCCTCTGGTCAGAGGCGCCTGTAACCCAGCCCCTCGGCGGCCCGTCCAGTGCGCCACGCGCAGGGCTGGGCACACCCACGCGCACACGCACACTGGGAATTCGCTGGTTCAGACTAAAGGCGGTCACTTGCAAAGTGGGCCATCGAGACACATCGATGATATGTCAAAGTGAGCAAAGTACTTTTCCACAGGAGACCGAAAAGCTAATTAGCATAGGTTAGAAAAGATTATACTTTAAATGAAACTAATTCAGTATAATCAGAACTCATTTTACTAAAGAAACGTTTTGGGAAAAAATACAAGGTCTGCCCAGAAGGTGTCCAGCCCGTACTATGAAAAATATAGGCACTCATTGGAGAAGATACAAGACACATTGTACGCAGGACAATGCCGCCTCAGTCCCCTTCAAAGTAGGGGACTATCACATTTTCCTGAATCTCATCGATGGTCTGAAATCTCTTCCCTTTCAAAGGTGACTTTAGTTTTGAGAAAAGCCGGAAGCCATAGAGTGCCAAATCTGGGCTGTAGGGGCTCTGAGTCAGCTGGATGACTTGGTATTTCTCAAAAAAAAAACAAAAAAACAAAAAAAAAAAACAACAACTCTGCAGGAGACATGATGTGAGTGGGCGCACTGTCGTGATGAAACTCCCAGTCACCAGTTGCCCACAGCTGCGGCCTTCTGAATCGTCCAAATAGTTTCCACGGAGGAATGTTCAAGTTTAATGCAAAATTTGATAGATTTGTTGCTCTACTTGCTCAGTCATTTTGAATATGATGGCCACACAGTACACACGCTCACTCACTGCTATCTACCGCCCCCACTGACTAGTGCAGAGACATTGTCATTGTTCACACATGCACATTCCAGTCCACTGTCCTTGGCTGCCAGGTGACACTGATGTCACACAAGCAGTTCTCGTCATACTGACAATGGCGGGACTGTTCCCGGACAGGCCTTGTCTATGACAGTGGAAACAGTTTAATGTGTGCTTACCTGTCGTCTCTGGCAGTCTTGTCACACTCGATGTCAAACTGCCACCGTTCAAGGACCTCGCCACTTTCGATATTCGAGATGACCACCACCAGTTTCTGGACCGAGCACTTGTACAGCCAGTCTGCAACACAGGAGGCGGCAGCGGGTTTGCTCGGCCGCAGCACAAAGTGACTCTCCCCTGACCCTCCCCATCCCCGGCAGACCCTGGCCGCTGCCCTCTACAGCGCCTCCCACCGGCCAGCCCCTGTCCCCACTCTCCGCATGCGCAGCCGGGCCGGCCCGGGCGCAGAGGAGCAGCGAGCACACAGGCACAGGTGCTGACCGGAGCACTGGGCCGAGAAAGGCGAGGTGAGAGCTGTGACGGCTGCGAGGACGGCGAGGCACAAGGTGCAGGGACAGCGCGAGGCGGAGACCCTGACTTCCTCGGGGAGGCCTCACCTCCGAAAGGCCCGACGTCAGCTCCGAGAGCCCAGAGAGCCCACGGCAGGAGACTCGGGAAAGGACAGGGAGGAGCTCTGACCAGAGGAAGGACTGGAAGGCCCAGACCACCGCCACCGAGAAAGGAGCACAAACGGGCGGGGCTGCCAGGTGAGCAGGGGCCGGCCTCGCAAGGCTGCGGGGGCCGGCCTCGCAAGACTCTACTTCAAGAGCCCCGGAAGGCGCTGCTGTGTTTGCAGCAGCGTGTGAGGTAGCCGAATGTGCACATCAGACTCCTGTTCCGGCCGAGATGCGGAAAACGGACTGCTGGGACCTGGGACAACTAGTCAGCGCTACCAGCAGGGGGTGCTGAAGGCTCCTAGGGGGACAGACCGGTAGCGACGAGCAGCAGACAGGCTCCGGAGAGGCGGGGTGTAATGTCACGGTTAACTGGGTCACCGAGAGAGGACCGAGTCACGCCACTGGCTGGGCGGCCCATCCAAGCGCCGAGAGGGCGGGGGAGGGAGATGGGGACGGCCCTGGGTTTAGCTGTGCACACTGGCTTGGAAGCGTCCCTCAGACAGCTGCTCGAAGGCTTGTGGGGGCGGGGGGGCATTCCCCGGGGGCGGGGGCCGGGGGCCGGGGGCCGGGGAGGACTCGGGTGGTCCTCACAAGGCTGCTAGTGAGGCCGCGCACTGTCGCAGTCACCTGGAGAGACTGCAGCGAGCAGAGGGCCGAGACGGAGCCCTAAGTTGATCCTGGGAACTGGGACAGTGTACTGGGACATCAGCAGTGTTTTCTTGCTCTTTAAACACTGCAGTGATATTTAAGACTGGCGGGCCACCCAGGTCCCTGCTGCGTGTTCTTTTTAAAAAACTCTTTAAAAACGTACGGACACCCGCAGCTCCCGGGCGGCACAGCAAATGGGCTGCGTGTGCTCGAGCCAGCCGCGCTGACCCCTGGCTCAGACCCGCAGACTTTTATCCTCTTAGTTCTGAATGGGACGGGACTAGGGGGACGGGAAGGTCTGCGGTAGGTGGTGATTTTTTTGTCTTTTAAAATGGGAAATGATCCCCATCAAAACAAGTGAAAAGCACGAGAGAGAGAGAGAGAGAGAGAGAGAGCGCGAGCCGAGCTCACAAGGAAGCTAGAGGGATGGGACTGGAGGCAGACCAAACAGTCTCCCTCTCAGAAGAGCGAGTCCTCCGTTTCAACCGGAACACGAGGTGGACGTCACGCAGGGAGAGCTAGAGCTCGCGAGGTGAAAGGTCAGTGATGCTGCGTGGGCGAGTCCACTGTCTCCATCACACGGAGGCCAAGACGCAGGCCGCAGCTGCCCGCGGGGCCCTGTGAAGGGCTGTGGGTGAGTCAGCCCTGGCGTCAATCAAAACAGGATGTAATTGAAAAAAACGAAGCTACTCAAAACAAAAACCAGGATACACGGAATAAAAAGAAGCACTGTAGCACGTTTTGGAACTAGTACTTTGAAAAACCAAATGGCAAGATAGTGAGAAACATCCTACAACTCAGAAAGTTGAAAGTGAGAATTCCAAGCAGAAAGAAACATGCAAGAGAAAGTAGTGAACTTGTAGAAAAAGAAAAAAATCAATGCAAAACAAGTATTGATCCAACAAAAAAACTTCTTGAACCAAGAAAAAAAGAACATTTAGAAAAGGTTTAAATTTAGGCAGGATTTCTTAAAAACACAGGTGGAAATAGGTGAAAAATAAGAAAACTCTACTGGGTGCTCTATTATTTAGTAGTTCTTTCTTAATTTTTATTTTATCTTTAGCTACCAGGTTGAATCCAGCTTTATTTCCTTAGTCTTAATGATGGCTTTAGACTCTATGCAGGTACAGAAAATGTATCGTATTAAGACTATAAAGGCTTTTTTCCCCCACAGACAATAAATACCATCATAACTATGTAAAATTCCAACTGGTTCCATTTGGCCACACAAACTGCATGTCATTTTCTAAGCAAGTTGATGAAGACAGTTTTGTTAAGCTGTATCAGATTCCTAATACCAATCTATATCATTTGCTTCCTCCTAATTGAGATTCACTGTAATTGAGATGGCAGTTAATTTCACACTTCTGTGTACAAAGCCAAAAAATAACCACCAAAAGGCTAGAAAATGTGGATTCCAGAAGGATAAGTACCTTTCAGTTGTTCCACCACGTTGTTCAGGTATTTCATGAGCTCGGGGTCGGTAGTCACAAGCAAGGTGAGCCCGTATCTCTGCACTCGAGTGAAGGTTTCCGAGGGATAAATGCCTCGCTGATACAAAATGCTGTTGATGCCGAATGCTGGAGGCAGAAATGGTGAAGACAAGCCATTGTCATTTTGTAAGACCAGAAAATAAAACCTACTTAGATGTGACCTGGCTTTCAGGTTTCACGAACAGTATTAAGCTGTGAACGCCTAAACGTGTGTGTTTTTGTGTCCTGCTGAAAGCAGAGTGGGTATCAAACGCCATTAAACACCCTCAAAATCTTGTTTTTAAATAAAAGAGATATACATACTTCCATTTACGCGGCGACAAAAGGAAAATGCCACGCACGCGGTTTACCGCTGCCCAATTTCCCCCCACTGCACCCGAAGTCCAAACTCGGATCACGTGCCCAGAGAGAGTACCAGAGTTGGCTAGCGCCCTCTCCCCTCCTCCCTTCCCTCTCCGAGTCCGCCCAGCTTCCCGCAGAAGGTCCCACCCGCCCCGGCCCGCAGGGCGCCGCCCAGAGGGCGGTCTGCCTACCCGCCCCGGGCCGGCGGCGGAAGGGAGGGCGGGGACGGCGCGGCGCCGAGAGCTCGCGGTAGTCCCGCCCCGGCCGCAGGGCGTCCTAAGTCGGTGGCGGTGGGGGTTTGCGGGGGGGGGGGAGTGCGGGGCGCCCTTTCCGCAGCGCTCCCGGAAAGAGGCCGCTGCGCCAGCACAGCCTCGGGAGCCCCGGCTCCTTCTCCATCCTCACCGCATCGCGCCCGCCTCCGCCTCGCCTCCGACTCCCCGCAGCGCGGGAGGCCGCCACCCGGGGCCCAGCGGCCGCCCGCTCCCCCGCAGACCCCGGGCCTCCGCCCCGCCGCCCTCCCGCCCGGCCGCGCGGACGACTCACAGAAGAACTCGGCCACGATCTCGGCACTCCCACGCAGGGTGATGCCCTGCTCCCGGGAGAGCTGCCGCGCCATGGCCAGGCCCCCGGCCGCGGCGCGCGGCCCCAGCACTCGGCGACCGCAAGGCTCCGAGGGGCTCCGCGGCGGCTCCCGCCGGTCCTTTCAAAAGTAACGACGCAGCTCGCCGTCGCGTCTGCGCACGCGCCACAGACGCCGCCCCGCCCTGGCGGGAGCGGGAGCGTCACGCGGGCGCTGGAGGGGGCGTGGTCGCCAGTTCCGGGTCGTGGGCCGCGGCCCGGGGTCGCGGGCGGAGGGCGGGCCCCGGGGCTGGAGGCTGCTCGCTAGCCGACGGGCCGAGCGCCCAGGAGCGCCCCGGAGCGTTTGGGAGACGAGTTCAAAGTGCCGCGAACAGCCCCCGGGGTCCCCAGTGGCCGGGGCCGCGGCGTGCGGCCGTCCCCGAGGGGAGGAGCGGACCCGGGCCGTGGGGACCGTAGCCGGGCCGCCGGGGGCCACGTGGACGCAGAGAGCTTTTCGGGGCGCGGACGGCCAGGCTCAGAGACTCCGCGTCCGGAATCCGAGCCCCGGGAGCCGACGCCCGGCTGGCTAGTTTACTCCTGAAGCGGCTACGGAAACTACCTGCAAAATGGGTCGGGGCACTTCCCGGGCCCACGTGTTAGTTAACTCCCCGCGCTCTGGCCGCGTAGCAGGCGACACCGGCCGGCGGTGTGAACCGGGCCCGGGGGCTCCTCCGGGACCCTCGTGGTGGGCGGAAGTCAGGCTCGCCGTTCCGGCCCGGAGGTCCGTCCCGGGCCTTCGCCGGGTAGCTCTGCCCTGGGCCCGGTCACGGGGGCGGCCTGGCTCAGCTGGTCGGGCCGTCTCCCAGAGGGTCCCCGCCGCGGGCACGACTCTGGCCGCGCGCACAGCGGGTTACATGGGGTGCGCCCTCCAGGGGTCGCCAGTGCAGGGCCCTCTGAGGTTGCTGCCTGCAGCGCCGGTAGATGTCGGGCTGGATCCATTTAGGGGTCAAACAGTGTAACCGGGAATGGGCCGGCCTGACCCAGCAAAGCATGTGTCTATCCTTCCTTCTTAGCGGGAGGGGCGTGCCCGAGTGTGTGACTCCCTACCTGCTGCTGCACACCGAGCCCCCTCCCTCGGGAACGTGGCGGGAGGCGGGTTTCTGCATCACGGTGGGAGCTTCGAACTCGCATCCGAGTGGATGGGACTAAGGCACCCGGGACTTCTGGGTTCTCCGGGTCGCCATAAGGAAAGGGACACTTTTTTCAGAGCTACATTCAGCCGTGGCCGTGGAACGGAGAGTGCCCGGGGCAGTCTGGGTTGGGCGTTTTGCCGAACACGTGGGTTCCTGGCGCCTACCCCCTGGTCCAGTGCATTTCCCCCAGCCGCCGCCGCGGGGCGCTCTCGGGCACTGGAACGTGCTGGCCCGAACTCAGATGCTGCAGGACGAAACAGCAGGTTTTGAGGACGTGATACGGTTTTAAATCGATTGCTCGTTGAAATTGTACCTGACATGCATCGCAGTAAATAAAGCATCATTAAAATAACCCCACTTGTGTCTTCAGTTCTCAGTCTGACCACCAGAGCACTTCAAATGCCGGCTGCGGCCCGTGCCCGCTTCTGACCGCAGCGTGTTCTCCGTGGGCTCTCGGGGAAGACGCACCATGACCCGCCCCCCCGATGAGCCTGGGGAGGCCCTTGCGTGCGTGGCTCTTGGAAGAGGAGCTTGGTGGGTCTCTGAGCAGTGCAGGCCTGGGAGTCGGGGGCCTGGCCTGGAGGGGCGCCAGAGAGTTGGGGCACGAAGCAGTGCATCGGAGCCGACGCTCGGAACGGGTCGGGCGGACGACTGCCGCGGAGGGCGGACGGCGGACGGCGTGCAGTCCGTGTGAACCCGAAGGCCTGGCCGCAGTAAGCGCGGTGCGGCCGCAGCTGCGGGCCATGAGGAGGGGCTGCAGGACTCCGGGCCTGCGCGGTTCCCTGTGTATCGCGGCGACCGAGGCTCTGGAGCTTCGGAGGGGCTGGAGCGACTTGAGCTCTGACCTTGGCCCCTCGCTGTCTAAAGCATGCGCGCCTGACCTTTGTGCAGTGTTGTTTTTTTCAAAAAACAACTCGTTTTTATTCACTTTAATTCACAACTCAGTTCTTTCTAACGTGTATTGTTTAGGGGAATGCTGTTTGGACAAGGAGAAGTGCAAGTTAAGGTGATTTTTTTCTTTTTTTAGGAAAATTCAAGCAGAGTATATGACCAAACCTGTCACAATAAAAGAATAACCGTGAAAAAGTGTGCCCGTATTCCGTGTTAAGATGCCAGAACCAGAAACGCTCACAAACATTTCCCAAGCCAGAATCGAGTCTGACTTGAGACTGGAGGTGACTCGGTTAGGGACGCAGCTGAACAATCTCGCAGACGAGGACACCGAGGTCCCCAGTGCCTCCCCAGTCAGTCCGGCGCTCAGTGTCTGCTCACAGGCGCAGCAGCACGATTTAGGGGCCCTGGGTGAGTCTCTCTTTAAATTACATCTGTCTGAGGACATGCTGGAAAATGTCCCTGTCTTTAAAGGTCGTTTTAAAAAATGAACTGGTTTTAGAATGTGAGTTTTTACCAGATAACTTGTCAAGGAAGTGGCAGTTACAATCCATCGTAGATTTTGTTAATGCAAAGTTTCAACTGCCAGCAGGTGGCGCTGTTTCCACGTGAACTAGCATCTTAAAACTTCAGTTCCTGTTCTGTGCTTTCAGTTCAAAGTAAAACGAAGGAAAAATGAGTTTGGTGGTTTCCACTACATCAGAATGAATTGTCCAATTATAACATATGAAGCAACCGGCGTCCTTTTAAACATTTATCAGTGTGCCCGTGGGCACACACACCAACACCCCAGAAAAACGTTTATATTTACACTTACGTTGCACATTAAATTTTTAACAAAAACATTTTAAGTCATTGAATCATTATTCTTACAGACTTAGGAAAGTTTTTCTTTCCACATTGTCAGGTGTCACTGTATTCTTGAGGTCAACATCTTGAAATGGAGCAGTTTATTTTAAATCTGATACAACAGATACTGGATGATAATTTTAATAAGACATTCACCTAGTAAGTTTTGAAAAAAACATTCGTGCACATAGGTATTTAATTATGTAAGTCTGAAGGATTTGCTTATTTTAAAAAAGGGTGCTCTCATAAGCCTTGAAATTTTTCTTCTTTATATATATATATTTCATTTGTGAGAGGCAAGAATCATCATCATCAATTTCCTCCTCTGATGCTTAAGGCTTATTTTGTAGCTCTGATGAGTGTGCGTGTGTGTTTCATGGGCCTGAGGATTAAATCACGGCATGTGAATCCTGCAAGCCGTCTTCCCCCGGGCTCTGCCCCAGGACCCTGGTCCTCAGCCCCCGCTCGGAAAGGCAGCCGGCAGAGTTGGGTCACGGCCTAGCGAGGTCCACAGACGTATCTCTGTGCTGACGTGATCCATGGTTTTAATGATCCGTGCGTGCACAGGATGTTAAATGTTACCTTTAGTAAAAGTGGAGTGCTGAATATTATTGGAAGCATAAATGTCCCTAGTTCTTATCATGAAAAGCATGGGCCGCCTTTATCAGAAAGCATTCTCATGTTTTCTTAGGGTTTCATTTTCTTACTTCTATCATAATTCTTTCAAATAGTGACACAGAGTCACTTGGAAGATTTTCGATAGCTCACCCATGGTTGGGTGCCAAAAGGTGTAACTTGCAAGGTAGGTTGTGCTCCCGGTCACTTCCCGGAGACTGTGGAATGCAGTGCGTGCGTGTGGGACACACGTGAAGAACGGGTTCTGTGGTCAGTCGGGCTTGACAGCACAGCACATTTTAAAATGTAACACATTCGGAACAAACCAGAACAGTTGTAGACACGCAAACTAGCAGTGCGGAGCCTGAGCACACCGTGGTTGCTGGTAAATTGGTGGAAATAGAGTTAATGTGTTAAATGGTTTTATAATTATATATTAAAGTTGGCCCATTTATGGCTACAGTGCATTTTTAAAAATATTTTATTTATCTATTTTTAGAGAGGGAAGGGAGGGAGAAAGAGAGAGAGAGAGAGAAACGTCAATGTGCAGTTGCTGGGGGCCGTGGCCTGCAACCCAGGCATGTGCCCTGACTGGGAATCGAACCTGCGACACTTTGGTTCGCAGCCCGCACTCAATCCACTAAGCTACGCCAGCCAGGGTGCTACAGTACATTTTTAGCTTGTTGCTTTTGAATATTTCGTATATAGGGTTATTTTTGTTATTGCTTAACATGAAAGCATAGTTGCTTTCTGTCAAATCTACCAACGAATGATAAAACTAAGATTTTGAGTAAGTGGGAAAGTATCTTTTGAAGAGCTCCATAGAGGAAAAAAAACTATAAATATAGATCTTTCTCAAATATTTGTCAATACCGCTTTATAAACATGTATAGGAAGAGAAGTTTTGTGAAAACATGAAACGTACTTTAATCCATTTATATAGTTTTCCCGTTTTGGTGAAGTTGGCCTTTTTGACTGGAGCAGTTCTCATCACCTGCCTTCCTTCTGTTCGTGGCTCATCCACGCAGTGCGGTAGTGAAGCCACATTTACCAGGTCACCCATGAGCCACGCACACTCGTTTTATCTTCTGTGCTGGGGTTGCAAACTGAGTGGGACGGCGAGTCTCGCTCCCGAGTAGGGCGCCCGACCCACCTAGCGTCACGGAGCAGCACGGAGGCTCGCTGAGCTCCGGGTTCGGGTTCAGGGTCGGGGAGCCGGTGGGCGACAGCGGAGCGGGGTCTTTCTGACGGCTCCGTCCGTCCCAGCGTGCTTGTGAGCAGGGGTGCTAGCTTCTCACGCGGAACTCGGTGGGGGGGGGTCTCTGTGCTAAGGTGGTCTTTCAGGCGGCCCAGCCTCTTTAACTAAACCTGTGCTGTGTTATCCTAAAAATAGGAGAAAGCTTGAAATCAAGGTTTATTTAATGAGTATAGCTCCTGTGAGAAACAGCAGACTGTGGCAGTTAGGGATTTTCAGTGCATTCACAGGTTTTTGTTATCGTTAAACAATGAGGTGTGGTTATGAATTTGTATAATTCAAAGATTATTAATGAGATAGGTCCCTTTTTGTTTTTGGAATTGTACATTGAGTCTTATTTATTTTGAGTTATCTTTAGTCTCCACTGAATTAATAAAAA